CTCGTTTGCATATTTACACAGACATTTTCAGAAAGCATGTAATAATTCCCTCAACATAAATCATCAGCTGGAGAAGTTTCATGTTGATATTTATTCAAGTGTTCACCTGCAGTGTCTCCAGTTACAGTTTTGAACAGGGGTGTCCAATCCTGGTCCTCGAGAGCCCCTATCCTGCATGTTTTAGATGCTTCCCTCTTCCAACACACCTGATTCACATGATCAGGATCGTTATCAGGCTTCTGCAGAGCTTGATGATGGAAGAGGGAAACATCTAAAACATGCAGGACTGTGGCCCTCGAGGACCAGGATTCGGTACCCCTGGTTTAGAGCATTTAGATGTTCTAAGACATTAAAAAAAAGCCCAGAAAATACAAGAAAATGTGTATTTTCTAAACATTTTTGCAGTGTTTTTGGCTGCTATTGTCAGAGTTTGCAATTTTAGAACAATCGCTTGTAATATTGGAAGAATATGAACTTTTTCCAGCCATTAACAGCTCCCACAAGGATTCTTTAACCACCTTTATCAATAAAGGACGCTGCATAGAGGCTGTTAAAGTTCTAGTGAAAAGAAAAATATATGTTCCCAGACCTAGTTCTTGGTGTGATTTTGAAGCTTTTCTCTCAAAGCTGCAATTATTTTTGCAACTGAACGGTTTGTGTGATTATTTAAGTGGGAAAAAGTCAACATTTTCTAAATCAAGCTTCTTAAATGAGAATATTTTCTGGTTTCTTTCCTCCACTGTGACAGTAAACTGACTAGCTGTGGGCTGTCGGACAAAACGAGACATTTGAGGACGTTGTCTTGAGAATTTTCACAATTTTCTGACCATTTATAGACCAAATAACTTTAATCGATAATTAAAATAAAAGTTAGTCGCTCTGGTTTGAAAGTAAGGAGGCTGTTTGAGTCCAAACATCTGTATAATTCTACACTGACAGACCACAGAAGACAATAAAATTCCTCCTCAGTACTGAGCAGCCACGTTTACAGACTTTTTATTCGCCCACCGGCATGAAAACCTAAACCAGGCTGCGTGTCGGCCGGCAGACCAAACTCAACGAGGAGCGCCTTCAGGCTTTAAAACCACAAACTCACCCCGTTGCTGTTGCATTTCTTGGAACAATCCTCCTTTTTCCCATAAACAGAAACATCCACACATTTGTTGTTGAGGCAAACCTGCAAAAGAAAAAGTTAGATTCTGAGCAAAGCTTCCAACAGAACGAGGAAACGTCTCCCTGCAGCGTGTCTTTGTTTACCTTGTTGGGTCCACATGCGGCTCCTTTGGGCACCATGTCGATGTTCCTGCTCTTGTCGTCCTCCACGGCCAGCTTACATTCTCGGCCGAACACGGTGTAAGCGGCTCGTTTACCGCTGATGGACTCGCCGCCGCCTTCGCAGAATATCGAGCCGCACTTTAGATCCCTGCAGATGCACAAAGAGACACAGATGACTCCAGAGCGTGTTGAGACTTCACCGTCAGTCTGTGTGAATAACGCTGAGACGTACACTTCAGCACAGCGAGTGAAGCCGAACTTGCTTTTCCCACAGTTTGCACCTTCTTCGCCCCGTTTGTTGAGGTTGTAGCAGATATCTGGTGCATCTTTGGCTCCTGGAAGAAGAAGAAAGAAATAATATGATCTCTAGTTTGTTGGGGAGGACATTTAACAGTGAAACCACAACAATGACTGCAAAAATGGTTGGAAAACACTGATTATGTTGTATTTAATGAGTCTTATGAAATATGAATGTCACAATTGTAATAATAGGTGAACAGGGGTAAAGAGTTAAACTAAAAAAATATCAACATGAAACTTCCCCAGTTGATTATTTATGTCAAGACTTTTTGTGTTTCTAAAAATGTACATATGCAAATTAAATGTCTAAATATGCTCCTAGTTGCGTTAATTCCCAGAATAGACGTCTGAGCTTTGTTTAGTTTTGTTGACATTTTGGCATCAAAGGTTTTCACAGAGGAGATGAGATGCCAGTAATCATAAAGTAGAGTCAACACTGTGTAAATAATCCATTTCTACCACGTTTATACGGAGGTCAGTGTTCTATAAATGAGGCTATAACTGATAAAAAAGAACAAACTCCTCTGTGAAAACCGTCAGGAAATAGAACAGAGGAATAAAAACTAGAAAAGTCTGGAGCATCTAAGTGCTAAAAACAGTCTTAAAGATGTGTTTTGTAAAATTCCAAAGGACTATCAACGGGTAAAAACTAAACCTAACTGTTCCCGTTTATTACTCACAATTAGACAGTTAGCTTTTGTACTGCAACTCTTCGGAAATGTTATGTTCAAACATGCAAATGAGTTACTATCTGTCCAAATATGCATCGATTTGCATTCATTTCCAGAACAGAAATAAGAAAACTGACTTCAAAATTCTAGTTTCATTTTGTCCACAGCTAAAGTTTTTACAGAGGAGATTCTAAATATCTACTTTATTTAATCAGAAAATACTACAACAGTCAGAAAAAGAACCATTTTTGCCATGTTTTAGGGGAAAAAAATAAAACTGGAGGGTATAAAAAAAGCTATTTAAGGAATAGATATCACCATAAACTTTCCCAGTTGATCTGTTACTGTAAGAGAATTATTTCTGTATTAGAAATTCTCTGAAATTTAAATATGCAAACGACACTTTATCTCGATAAATGTGAACCAGTTTGCATAAATGTCCAATCGACACGAGTCTGAAAGACACAAAATATTCCTAAATCTAAAACCTGCATTCCAAGACAGTGTTTTTGTTTGTAGTCTCATCTTAATCTGAAAAGGAGCTGAATCTGTCTGATCAATATAAAAGTGCAAAACTTTCTGTAAGAATAAAGCAGTGCTGCGCTACAGGAAACTAAAGCACAAGTCCAGAGGAAGTTACTGTATGGTGGGATAGTTTAAGTTTTAAAGACGCTTCTGTTTGTTGTTCCTGAATTTCTTACATGATAAAATGCACTTTAATGAATGCGTATCAGGCCGGAGTCATTCCACCACGTGACTGTAAAAAGGTGAAAAACTGAGACCACACTGTTCCGTTTTTTTTCCGGTGTGTAGAGGCTAACCTGGTCCAAACAGCCTCCAGCAGTGCTGCTCCCGGGTCGGGCAGCGTCCGTTGTAGCAGAAGCCCTGGCGGTGGCTGTAGCAGGGTTTGCCGTTCATCTCGAAGCTGTCCTCGGGACACTCGCTGGACTCTCCGGTGCAGTATTCAGGCAGGTCGCAGTCGCTGGCCGACTTCCTGCAGACGCTGCCGGACGCCTTCAGCTGAGGGTCACGACAGCAGAAGCTTTTATTTCATCAGCGTGTTGAAGAAATAGCATCTTTTTTATCCTAAATGTTGGATATTTAAATGGCATCTGTGGCCTTTTACTACTTTTCAAGATAGTTTCTTGTTTTGTTTTTTTTATGCATATTGAAATTTGAGGCTGTTTGAGCAACAAGATCTCAGCAACTACTGAAGATAAAAACCTGAAAGTGTTGTATTTCTCCTCACGTTGTTGATTCTGAATCTGCAATATTGGACGAGTAGATTAAACTTTCTGAAAAATGTGAGAAACAGTCCCGTCTTTGAGCTCGCATGAAGAAAAAAAATGATAATGCAAAAGTCAACTTGTGATATTTTCTGAATCTCGTGTAGCTGCACGTCTGAACAACACAAAAAACACAAAACATGCAGAATACTTTCTATTTTTTACATATCTGTGCACAAAAGTGAAAAAAAAAAAAGTTATTTTCATCGAATTTTGATAACTGATTAAGCAGGTTTGTACCATGAAAACAAAAACATTGCTGCAGAGTCGGATCCAAAAACAGAGTTCTGGACTTTCAACATGGACAATAATGCAGATTCAGAATCAACCACATGATGAGAAATAACAATTAAACTTTGAGGCTTTTATCGTCAGCAATTCCCGAGATGATGTCGTGCAAACAGCCACAAATTTTATGAAGGACTTCTAGAAATTGAAGTTGATAATTTGACATGAAATGACCCGTCGGCTCCTGAAACATTTGAGGAAGGATGTGGTGAGTTGCAGAACATTGAGCCTCTGTTTCCTGTTTTTATTGAGCTGCTGCTGGTTTTAGAAGAACCCTTCTACACTTATTAACTGGGTGTGTCTTCATGAATCGGTCTTTCTGTATCGGTGGCGCCCGGCTGGCTATGTCACAGGGACACCAGGTTCACATCATCGATTGACTGCTTTGATTGTGAACACTCTGGAATATTGAAGTTAGACGTCACATTTGGTCTCAAGATGTCTTTTGAACATCTGACTGGCTTCGTCTGCAAAGGTTCCTCATGGAATAATCAACTACAGAACCTCTAAACAGATTTAAACACCATGAAGGATTTCATTTCCTTCATGGAGTTTTGCATTGAGCCGAGTGTCCGTAAAGCATCTTTGTTCATTTATTTACAACGAGGAGAGGACATGTGTGGCAGCACAGAAAGTAAACCAGTCATATGGTTGAGACTCGTAACCGCTAAGCAAGAAAATGGAGAAGCTTCAGTCTGTGAGTCATGTTTCAGACAGAAATCATCACAACCAGAGGTGATGCTGATCTGTCGTGAAGAGGTGATCGTGAATCATGGTTTGAAGCAGAATTTACAAGCAAAGATTCTTTCATGTCAAAGTGAAAACTGATTCTGTTGTCTTTATGGTGTAGTTTACTTTACTGAAACACGTTCACTGCACTCAGATGTTCTACATTTCACCAACTGTGTGACTTCCAGCAACAATTAGCTGCACTGGTGCTGCATTAGTTGCTTTAAAGGAGGTGAAAACGTGTGAAATCACTCATTTTACATTTTATATTTTAAATTCGTTGACGTTCTGTTTACACTTAAATTCTTGGGTAAATTCTTGTCGAAAAAGCCAGTTAAATTGAGCAGGACTTCATGAAGAAAAGCAAAAAAAAAGGGAAAAATTCCAAGAGGGGTGAATAGTTTTTACAGGATAACAGCCATGTTTATAACTGTCAAGGGAATTTAAAGCAACCTTTTAATAAGTTTGTCAATAAATTTTAAAATTTAAAAAACAAAATGCAAATTCGGCCAGTTTTCATGATTGAACTAGGCGGTGCAGAGTCACCACAAGGTGGCGATGTAGGCAACGTTAACCGTAATAAACAGAGTAGAAGAAGCTCCAAACAAACCACTTGTTTGCTGAACTAGAAAACCTCAAAGAAGACAAAACTTTTTTAAAAAATAGAGAGAAATCTACATGAATTGCCATGATTCATGCTATCTGAGGACAAAGACAAGGAAGAAAGCCTGTCGGTTAAATGTTAGCTACTAATTTATTCCAATAACGTGTTTCCATCCTGTTTTTTTTTTTGTTGTTTTTTTAAAAGTCCAAAAAATTTTTTTTGCTAAGTTGATGAACAGCTAAGCTAAGTTGGCATTTGTTTCCAATGTAGCTGTTGTTCTGTTTCTTTTTCTCATGTGATGCTTTAAAAATGTGTAAAACACTTTGTTTTACTACATGTTGGGAAGTTTTTTGAATGAAAGCCAAACAGAAGCCCTTAAAGCTTCTACAGACACTGATGCTCTGTTGTGTTTTTGGTACTAAAATTATGTGGTAAAGCTTTTTTGTTCATTCATTCAACTCTTGTTTAACTCACTGAAGTACAAAGGCCTCATTTACACAGTCGCCAAGTAAAAAAAAAAAAAAATACAAGAAATCAGCACATAAATAGGAAACTTGGCTTGTAAAATGATACAAAACATGAATTGGATGAACAAGTAAAATCTACTTTTTTATACTGGTTTTAGAGAACAATTGAACTAATCTCATGCTTTGCCTCCGTGTGCTTTTATATTTACACAGCAAATATGTTTTCACTTTGTGTTTTTGTCCCACAAAGAGTAAATAAAAGAACACATTAAAGCTCCAGTGCTTAACAAATGTATTAAATCACATGTCTAACTTGTTAAGGGCTGTGTATATGTATATAAATATCGACCATCAAGCATCATGAAGGGCTTTAATTCGCTCTCAGCTCTTAACGTTTTACAATTTTGAACAGAAATGAGGAATTTCAAACTGAACTCACCTTTTAAACCTAAACCTGAGCCAGAAATGAATCAAGCATAACATTCAAGCACTAAAAGTTTTTTTTCTGTTCAGGAATGCAGCTAAATAACTAGAATGTGACATCTTAGTCAAGAAATAATACTTTCCTTTACTGTTTTTTTTTTTTTTTTGTAAAAAGGTAAATTAGAAAATTCATGGATAATAATGATAATTGTTATTATTATTATATTTCACCAGTAAAAATATCAGAATCAGATACAAATACTTGATCCTGTAGGGGAAACTGTTTTCAGTTGCAGATGCTCCCAATCAAAAGTCTTAAAGAAGTAGGAAGTAAAAATGTATAATAAAATCTAAAGTATTAGTATGAAAATAAAAATATAACACAAAATAAATCTACATTCTGCTGTTGTGCGTGTTTACAGTGTGATATTAACCAGACTACCATTTGGATTATTGCACATAGAATTAATCATTTGGGTTCAGGAGCTTCTACATACTAGTTGTTATAATGCTGTTAATTTAGAGCAGCTGTGGCATAAACCTGACATGAGGTGATTGGGTGGTGCTCTGATAAATATGTACATTGGAGGCAGCTGAGCAGCTTCTGTACCTGGCAGCTGTCGCAGCACTGTCCATGAGCGCACTGAGAGCCTTCAGTCAGCCGGCAGGTGGACGCATCACAACACGGGTTGGTACATTCCTGAAAAGAAAAGAAAAACTCAGTTGTGTCTGTTTGTTTATGCAGTTGGAACCTGAGCAGCGATGAAAGCTCAGGGACGAACGATCGGGTTTAAATCTCCCACATGAGCTGCGTCTGCCAAGAATCCCTCCAGTGTGATAAGAGGCGAGGATGGATCTATTTTAACTCTCTACAAACACTGCGTCACCTTCTCTTTTATTAGCCTCACGCACAGGAAGCCACACCAGCAGCTGAAACGGAAAGCGGAGTCTCCCTTCACCAGAGGATGTGTTGGGCCGAGTCGGGTTCTCACCTCCACGGTGCCGCAGTCGCAGTCCTCTCCGGGGTCCAGCAGGGCGTTCCCACAGCGAGGGCCCACGGCGAGGGTCCGCACCGAGGCCGGCCGGTGCAGGCAGCTGGGTTGAGCTCGCTCCATGAACTCGGCCAGCTGATCCACGCTGCAGCCGCTGAAGAACTCCGGAAACGCCGCGCTTCCCGTCCTGAGGAGGAGCAGAGAGGTTCGCAGGAGATTCAGAGTCCAAACAAACATTAATCTGCTGCTGGTAAAGCCTTCGCTCTTTAGAGTTCAGTCGTGTAATTTCAATCATAAATAAGTTTTATATCAAAATCACAAGTCACCAGAACTTCCATAACATCCATATTTTAAACATTAACAGCTACAGACAGCAGGTCTGCGTGCGTCTCTACATAAAGTGCATGAAATTAATCCAGGCTGATAAAGTAAACAGCAAAAATGAAGGCAAACATAGATCATTCCATCTAATAATTTTAAGAATCATCTCTTATTAATCTAAAATCTAAAAAATAAATATTTCTAAAAATATTTGGGAAGTTATAGCTCGATATATCAAATACTTTCTGAGATAATTACCCACTTCCTGCAGGTTTTTTTGTGCAATTTGAAATTTGAGGCTGCTTGAACAAGAATATTTTATGAATGATTAAAGATAAAAACCTGAGATTTTCACTGTTATTTCTCTTAATATCGTTGACTCAGAATCTGTCATATTGGACAAGTAGATTAAAGAGTTTCTGATTGTGGGTGAGTTAAAAATGACAGAAAACATTTAAGTCCCTTTTTTTCAAACACCGTTTCCCATAACTCCATAAAGTGAATAAGTCGAGGAACAGTGGTGGAAATATGCGTTTTAAACATTTCAGAAATACTACTCACCTACAAGTAAAAGTACTGCTATTAGAAAATGCTTCAATTACAAAATATTCTTCTCAAAAACTCCTCTCAGTATTAGTTACTGTTTAACTGTTTAGCCACAATCAAGCGGATTTCTCTGATAAATAATAAAAGCTGTGAGTGGCTCAAACTGAGCTTATTTGTTTTGTGAGCAAAGCAGGAATTTTATCTGCTAAAAAGAAAACTGAGAATGTTTTTGAACCTGCGTGTAGCAGTATAAACGTCCCCCAAATGCACCTTTTGTTCAGCTCCAGTAGTCATTCATTTTAGAAGTTTTTCATCCGTACGTCGTGGTTTTCGTCGGCTTGTTTGTAACTGGTCTTAATGGCTACAGAAACGCACCAATATTGTGGATATTTGGACATTAATTTAAACCGTAGGCCTGCTCAACAGTAAGTTATGTTTCTTAAAGTAAATGGTGTAATGCATACATAAGTAAAAATAAATGCACAGACCTTAAGAAAAAATAGCCCCAAAAATGACATAGTTACAGTAATTGGATTTATTGTAATTTGTAGCGACACATCTGGCAGCAACACATCTGCAGCAGCAGCAGCAGCAGTCTCACCAGCCAGACGTCAAATATTACAAGTAGAGAGTTGGAAAAAAAATTAAACTAGTGTGCGAGTGAGGTTTATGGAATAAAATGATGTAGGTTCCAACATTGCCAAGGTTGTAGTTTCTTCATGGGAGCTGTAGTTTTTTCTGGGCTTATTATGAGGAAGTTGTTATTTAACTTTATTTGTCGCTGACGGTTCAGTTTGTGGTGTGAGCTGCTGCAGCGCTTCGTCTTAGAATACAGATGAAAGAAGTCCTAAATATTTATTCTGTGTACTCTTAGAGAACTTGCTCAAAGCAGTGTCCACATACTTTTGACCACATACGTCTGTATTTGCAAACTGACGATGTGATTCCTCCCAACACAGAAAACAAACAAGAAGGCGTTTCACATACGAGGTGTGTCAGAAAAGTTCCAGGACTGGTGTCATCAAAGATGTATTTCAAACCCAATCTACAAACTACCAGTTTTCCCCTTCAGACGATCAACCAGCACATCTACAAAGACATCCTGCGGCGTTTGCTTCGTTCAGAAGAGGCGAGAGTTGTGGCAGGACGAATCATGGCTGCTTCACCATGACAACGCTCACAATGCCCTGAGCGTCCCACAGTTCCTGGCTGAGAAGAACATCGCTGCGCTGGAGCAACCTCCCTACTCACCCCACCTGGCTCCGTGGGGTTATTTCCTCTTCCCCAAGGTCAAGGGGGTCATCAAGGGGACCCGTTTTGAAGACGTGGACGACAACAAGATGGCTGTGATGATGGCGCTGCAGAGGATCCTGGAGGAATCCTTCCAGGAGTGCATGGCGGCGTGAAGAGAAGGCTGGGGACGAGGGTTAGACTCCAGGGGGATTACTTTGAAGGGGGGAGTTTGGATTTAAAATCTATCTTTTGTGACACCAGTCCTGAAACTTTTCTGACACACCTGGTTCATGTATTTCCAGATTTTTGGACATTAATGGTCATCTCTTTATCATTAAACTCTTTTAGAAATTAGCGTCTTATTTTGCCCTCGTTAGTTTATTAGTTCTTGACCTTTGTGGCAAATCTGAAGATGTTTCCTCAAGAAGTTCCCGACATGCTGCGCTCACAAGAAAGTAGCATCATAGAAACACTCTTTTGATATTATAAATACTCTGCTGTCTTGTTCCTACCGGAGTTTTTCTGCCATCACACAGTTGCCGCTGCTGTAAGGACCACAAACGCATCCCGCTGCATCGTGGGAAAGACCAAAGTTGTGTCCCATCTCGTGAGCGATGGTGGAGGCGAGGCCGATGGGGTTGTCGTGGTGATCCTGGAAGAGAGGACCACACCTGTTGCTTTAACATCTGAACATCCACCAACAGCGTCCATCTGCAGGTAAGAAGTCCCACCTGGTTGACTCCGCCTGAGTTTTCGGTGCACATGGCGAACTTGTTTGCGAGTCCGACCGTGTCTCCGTCGAAGTCTTTGCCGCTGTCGAGGAGAAAAGTTTCAACATGAGGTCAGACCGGAAGCGTCGCCGCGTCTTTAAACATCCGCGCGGACAAAACTCACGTGACAAACTGAGCGTTGTCGTGCTCCTTCCTGCGCAGAAGGTCGGCCTGACGCCACACCAGGAAGTTGTCCAGGGCGATTTCTGAGTTGACGTGGACGTCGATGAAGTCTTTGTACGTCCAGATCTCCAAACCCACCAGCATGATGCGGATGTTGAGAGGTCGATACAGCTGCAGGGAGACGAGGAGACGCTCAGGAACCAATGTGCTGCCAGACAGATTACAGAAGCTTTAAAACAACTCACCTTGTCGATGTGATTTACAGCTCCCAGGATACGAGGTTTAGTCTCGCTTCCATAGCGTTTGTACTTCAGGAGGAGGAGAGAAAGAAAAAAAAAAACAGATCAGATTTATGTAGAAGTGGAAGTTGAATTGTGGGAAAAGTCAGATGCTTACTTCGGCATTGTCCACAACCACGAAGAGCTCCACAAACCGCTCTGGACCCGCCACTGGTTTAGTTTTCTGATAAAAGAAACAAAAAAATACAGAATTTAAAGGTTCTGTTTGCAACCTTTCAGAACCACTAAACATCGAGTAGGGAGCGACCGATTAGTCTGATTATCGACACCAATGTTTGTCTTTTTTTGTTGATTATTGTGATTTTTTTACTGACCAGTTGCATTTAAAATAACTTTCTCCACTTCTCTTTGTGGTTTCAACAAAGTCCCGCCCACAGCACGATCTGATTGGTTGTTTCATGATACACGCAATCAACAAAAAAACAAAGCTCCTGTTTACAATCGTGCCCAGTTTCCTCGTAATACAGAAAAATACCAGAATAACAAGATCTGCAGATTCCAGAGTCACATCTCAGGAATTGTTTTCATCGAGAAAACTTCTGTAGGTGTAATTTTGAATCCACAGAGATGAGTTATAAGTAGTCGTCAACAATCAAAGCTACTGTTCACAGAGAGGGACAGATTAACTCCGCAATCCTCCACAAACACGTCCATTGTCCCCTTTACACTAAATATGCTATTTGTTTACATCATTTTATCATTCATGCCAGTTAGCCTGATTACTGAGGCCAGTGTTTGTGATTTATTTTCCATTATTGTGTGGTATTTTTATTGACGAGTTGCATTTAAAATAAATTAAACGCACTACTTTAGCTTTAATGCAGCCACTGTCCTGTCTGTAGTCACTCTGTGGTTCCAGTAAAGCTCCGTCTGATTGGTTAAACATCACAAGTAGCAGCTAATTAACAATAAAAGCTACTGTTGTTCACAGACAGGGACAAATTAAGTTGTATTCAAACATTGTAATCCTCCAAAAGCCAGAATAATGAGATCTGCACATTCCAGAGTCACATCTAAAGGGTTATTTTATGGAGAAAACTTGTAAATATGTCAAGTTTTTAGGGGTTAAGCCAACAACTGGGGATGGATTTCACTTATTTTGTTCAACTAGTTGATTCGTAGTCGACAGGAAATTAGTTTGAGGCAGTTTTGATGATCAAATAGTTCATTTGAGTCAGTTTTAGAAGAAATTCTCCTGTTGGATGGAAACTTTCACATTCGGAGCCTCACGTGGAATATTTAGGACCATATCAACCCCTCAGTTCAAGTTTAGGGGCGTCTTGATGTTACAGCGTACCCATGATCTGGACCTGAAGAGGCCGGCGAGCCGCGGGCCCAGATCCTGGTCCTGGTCCAGGTCCTGGTCCTGGTCCTGGTCGTACATGGTGCTGCCGTTGGATGATCCACAGGCCACGCCGCCGCTGACCTTCAGATGCTCCCGTCTGTAAACCGCATGCTCCCCGTCGTCGGTTCGTTCCAGAGGTTCTATCAGATAAACCCGCTGCTGAGTTCTCACGAAGCCGCTGCATGACGCAAAAACAACACCTTTTATTTACCGAGTCAAAAAATAGACCCGCCACGATGTGAGTCATGCATCAGTTCCTCCATCTTAAGTCCTGTTCGACCATCTCAGCCACGTTGAAATTTGAGTCCGTTTGAATGACAATAACTCGGAAACTATGAAAGATAAACACCAGATGTTTGAACTGTTATTTCTCACCATGTCATTGATTGAGAATCTGAAACACTGGACAAGTACACAGAATTATATCTGATTATGGGTGAGCTAAAATGTGAAGAAAGTCCCATCTTTGAGGACACATTAACAAAAAATGTACAACAAAGAAGTCAACAAGTACAACAAGTAGCTGCATTTCACAATAACACAAAAAAACATTTAGAATACGTTCTAATATGAAATACTTTGTCACAAGTATAAAGAGAAAAGTTGTTGTCATTGAGCTTTTAAAACTTATCGAGCAGGTGTAGCACAATATTACTGTGAAGACTAATCCAAGTAAACCAGCCTTTATGATCACAGACCATAAAGTTACTGCAGATTCTCAATAAAAAAGAACATTGTGAGAAAAAAAAGGAAAATTTTAGGTTTTTCTGTTGTTCAATAATCATTAAATTTGTGAGGAAAAAAAAAAACATTGGTCGATGGGAAATCTTTAAAAAAAAAAAAAAGTACATATCTTTCTAAATATCCATATTTAATGCTTTAAAAACTTCAGTGAACTGTTCTAAAAATGTGATGATATGAGATGAAATGATCTAAATGTAATCCACCTGAAAAGACGTAAACTAAAATAAAGGAAAATAAGCAAAAAAGAAAAAAGACTGTTGAACTAAAGAAGATTTCACACAGTTATGTCACCTGATGTCGGACGCTTCACAAACACAACAAGCCGATTAGGAAACACGATGAGGCAACGCGTTTCCCAAACATCTGAGAAATTTTCACCAGAAATAATGTGAGCAGCGAATGAATGGACGGTTCACTTGCCTAATGCCGGAACAGATCCCCACGCTGACCGAGGACTCGGCCTCGCCTTCCACCCGCCCGTGGTAGTAGCAGTGGTCCTGGAGGAAGCAGGGACGCTGGTTAGTGGAGACGCTCCTCTCAAAGGGCGTCTTTGTCTTTAACGCGCATGAATCCATGAATCACAGGTCAGGAATGTCGATATTTATCACGTTTGGGTCACTGACGGGCAATAATGTCTGAGAACTCCAACAATGGGCAACTTGTGCTTTTAGATATGAAGCCAAATAAACAGATTTTAATTTAACTACTCATTTCACACAAATAAATTGGAGCATTTTTTGTTTTTTTGCAGGTAAAACTCAACGAATTCTGCAAGAAAAAGTGCAATTTTTAGCCCCAGTGTACTGCAGCATAAAGAAACAAACAATTTTTTGTCTCTAAAATGCCTAAAAAAACACAGAATTTCCCAACTATCAACCGTCTCACCTCCTTCGGCGATGTCATCTCTCGTCTTCCATCCTCTGAATATCGTGTTTCCGTGTAGTCTCTCCCAATGAGATTCCTATTAAGTATAAAAACAGAGGTTTATATTTTGTTTTCACCACATTAGTTAAATATGAAATGTGACAGCTACCAGTTTTTTTCCAGATGAATCGTGCGGTTTCTCCCCTCGATGGTCAACTCGTACCGAACGGTGTCGGGATAAAACTGCAGAAAAGAGAATTCACAACTTTCATTTGTGTAAAACAAAACAGAAAAACGCTGTTAAAGGTGAAACATCCTGCATTTAAATATGTTGAAGTACAAGCAGGAAGATGCACTTTTCCTTTAAGTTGTTTAATTGATTACACTGGATGAGATTTTATATAATTATTGCATGTTTTTTTTTAAAAATGCAGAGTAACTTCTGGAAATAAACTGATAAATTAAATGAGATTAGATTATTTGTATTTAGTATGTAACATAGAAGGTTGCTACAGAAAATACATTAGAGTTAGTTTAGAAGTTTTGGGAGCAGTGACAAGTTTAGTTTTCAACATTTTTTTAAAACAGGGCTGCAATTACTGATTAATTAACTGATTTGCTGTTTGGTCTTTAAAATCTAAGACAATAAAGAAAAAAATGTCAGAAATCTGTCATTTGCAAATCATTTTAAAATCTTAATAACATCTTAAAACCTTAAGGGAAATATTGACATTTAAGAATCTGCAATTGTGGAATTTTTAAGCTTTTTTCTTTTAAAAAAATGGCTCAATTATTTAAATGGTTGACAGTTAAAATGAATAGATTCACTGTTGCAGGCGTAGCTTGAAAACACAATTATTAGGGATCTTTATGTGATTAAAAAAACGTTAATGTCAGAGATAAATACAGCGGAGTCACAACTTTCATATTTCTGTCTGTCATGTGGGGAAGTGAAACTAGAAAGCAGCACAACATGCAAATATCCAGTAAAGTGTGCAGTTTACTGTCAGTTTAAATAATGATTGTTTCTTATTTACTCTTATTCATTTGTTCTTCTTTCTAAAGCAGCACTGATCAGTTTCCTTCATATTTATGGATCTATAATCGTCAAAAATCTACTTTACTGAATCCAGAGCCTGTAAAGAAGAGAACTTTTAAATATTGTGACACCGTAATTCACTCTTAATCTTTATGTAAACCTGATCTAAGGTGTAAGATCCCGTTGATTTGCTGCCCGTCTTTGCCAGGACACTCCTGACGTCCCACTGAGACGTTTTACATTATTCAGGCGGACCCGTGGGTGACGTCCAGGTGAGGTGGAGGTGCTCACCTGGTCGTCCTGCAGGCTCCTCCTGTGTCTCTGCTGGTGTCTGCGAGGTCGAACCACCTCGTATCGCTCCACGTGAGGCAACAAGGCAGAGCTGAGCGCCACACAAGCTGCACAGAACAAACACTTAGTCAATATAAAGCAGATTTAATGAGAACAAACATTGTTTTAATCGACATTGCTGGTTTTATCTTATTACAATCTTTGTAGCAGTGTAGTACTCAGAGCCTTTACTTTGCTATAACGCTGAACAAATACTCTACTGTCCATCCACAGTCTTTTATTGTATATGTTTATTATATTCTCACTTGTGTATTAGTGTGAAAGCAGCATTTTACAGCTGGAGTTGGTCCAGATGAGCTGCTTTGTTCAGGACTGTAGCTAAACATTACCTTTAATTATTATCATTGTTTGGATTAATGAACAGCAGAAAATAGTGAAACATGTTCATCACTGTTCTCCAAGTCAACACACGTCAGAAGTAAACAAATTAAAGTCAAATTATGGAAATCAGTCAAAGAAAAATGCCTTTTCAAAGCCTGAATAATCCAATTAAGTGATCAGTAAATCAATTATTTCTTTTTATTATATTGGGTCGTTTAATTTATAGCAAGAAATACAAACCATCAGATGTTTTATGTGCAAAAACGGTTCAGTTGTAAAGCTGCTTAACTTAAATAACTAAAGTAGTTAAATGTTATTAGTGCAGTAAAAAGTGCATTTATTGTGACTAAAGGAGCATGAGATGGAAATGCTCAAGTAACTAAGTAAATGTACTCTGTTACATTCCATTTGAAAGCAGCTTTACACCAAACACAGCCTTTAAATACCAGGAAGTTCAGCTTTATCTACAGTTTCTGTATCAAAAACTATGAAAAAAGGGTTAAACCATTAAAAAGAAAAGCAACAAATCCTCTCATTTAGATACATGCCAGAATATGAGTTAGTAACTGAAGCCACACAGTGAAGTAAAATGTGAGATCTTTAGATGTAAAAACAACATAAAGTGGAAATACTTGAGTAAATGTACTTAATTACTTTAACGTAAAAACACATAACGTTTCAATGCACCAAATATGAGGCTTAAGATACAGTTTTTGTGTCACAGTTCTTTGTTAAAGTGTCTAAAACTACTTAAAATAAAATAAATTACAGAAGAAAAAGCAGCGAATCCTGATGTGTAAAACACTGAGTTATTAACTACTGAGCTGGTTGTCAGCTGCACTCTTTGGTGGTTTCATTTAAATATATATATTTGTGATCCTTTTTAAATGTAATATTTAGAAATTAAGAAGCAAAAGGTGGAAATACTTAAGTAACTGAGTAAATGTACTCAGTTACTTTAGTCTAAAACCACACAAAGAGTTTAAGTGTAGCTTAACATCAAATGTGAGGCTGAAAACCAAGTTTTTGCTTTATTGTGTTTTTTAGAAAATCAAAACAGCATAAAGGGAGTAAATGTAAAATATAAACATGCTCAGTTGCATTAGAATAAAACAGCTGTTCAGTCACAAAGAGTTTAAATGCAGCTTTACAGCAAATGTAAGGCTTTAAATAAAGTTCCTGCATCACAGCGCTTCGTTGAAGGTTAAAAAACTATTAAAACATGAAGTAAAATGACTAATTATTATGAAGTTAAAGCAGCAAAATGTTGCATTTCAAACACTGAGACAATAAATAGAGACAAACCTACTGAACTATCAGCTCTGTTCCTCTGCACTGTTACATGGTTTAACTTATAAAATATATACATTTGTTAATTTGTAAGTGCAGTTTTTAGAAATGAAGATGCATAAAACAGAAAAGTAACTGAATAAATGTACTCAGTTACATTCCACCACAGCTGTTTTGTTCTGTTTTAAAAGAGTTTTCATGCAGATTTAGGACAAATATGAGGCTTAAAATACAGTTTTTGTTTCACAGTGTTTTGTTAAAGTGTCCAAAGCTGTTAAAAATGAAGCAAAACAAATTAAAAAAAAAAAAGAAAGAAAGAAAGTATGAAATGTTCACACTGAATTAACAAAACAGACTCCTGTAGTTCAACTACTCATGTCGGCTGCACTCTTGTGCACTGCTGGGTGGTTTCATTTAAATATACAGATATATAAATATATTTATGTTCATTTGTAAGAGCAGTTTTTAGAAATGAAGGCACATAAAACAGAAAAGTAACTGAGTAAATGTACTCAGTTACATTCCACCACAGCTGTTTTGTTCTGTTTTAAAAGAGTTTTAATGCAGCTTTAGAACAAATATGAGGCTTAAAATACAGTTTTTGTTTCACAGTGTTTTGTTAAAGTGTCCAAAGCTGTTAAAAATGAAGCAAAACTAATGAAATAAAAGAAAAAGTATCAAATGTTCACACTGAATTTATAGAAAATGACCTCTTGCTCAACCAGTCATGTCGGCTGTGCTCTTGTGGGGTGGTTTCATTTAAATATACAGATAAATAAATATATTTACGGTAATTTGTAAATGCAGTTTTTAGAAATGAAGGCGCATAAAACAGAACTGTTAAAGTAACTGAGTAAATGTACTCCGTTACATTTCACCGCAGCTCTTTTGTAGAGTTTTTTTGCAGCTTTACATCAAACATGAGGCTTAAAGTCTCATTTCTGACGTTAATAATCTTTCCTGCTCATCCACCAGCAGCCTGACAAATAATAACAACCGGAGACGTTAAACAGCAGTAAAGTCTCACCGCAGCCCAGCAGCACCGTCACCGCTCCGGTTCCCGTCATGATGCTCCGCCGCCGCCGCCGCTGTTCTACTCCGCCGAGGAGCGTCCGCTGCGGGCGGCTGATCCTCGGGACCCGCCTCCGGTCCGCTTATCTCCGCCTCACACATTTACCGGAAAGAACCGTCAGAGCCGCTGCAGTTACACGTCCAGGAAATTAGAAACAACTTCAAAATCAAACGTGCAGGAAGTCTGGAGCTGATTCACCTGAAAATAAACGTTTTACTGCAGCTTATGAATGACATTTATGGGATCAGATTAGTCACTTATTTATTAGATGTGTGCATCAATATGAACTCTGTCAGCTCCTCCAGCATCTACAGCTAAACAGTAATATATATGAAAACAGAATTCAGGAGATGTTGACAGAAAAGTGTCATAAAACTACATGAAACGACTTTAATACCAACAGAAAAACCAAAACCTGCTGAGTTTACAATCACAGGAAACTATGAAACCAGCAAATATTCACTTTAATAAACAGACACCAGAGAATTTCTGGCATTTTTGCTTAACAAATTACTATAATGTTATTATATTTAAATGACAATCTGAATCGAAAACAGTGCAAATATGATTTTATTTAACAATAAAATGTGTAACAGTGACATGCTGCTGAAGCATCAGAGATTGTTTACTGTTCAAGGTTCTGCTGTTTTCTTATTGAAATGATTTAATTTAGAATTATTATTACTTAGCTTTTTTTTTTTAATTTAACACAGTCACAGATTTTGTGATAATTGTTCTATCTCAGGGGTGTCCAATCCTGGTCCTCGAGGGCCACAGTCCTGCATGTTTTAGATGTTTCTCTCTTCCAACACACCTGATTCACATGATCAGAATCATTATCAGGCTTCTGCAGAGCTTGATGATGAGCTGATCATTTCATCCTCGAGGACCAGAGTGCGACACTCCTGTTCTATCTTCTGTGCCAGTTTAGAAAAAGGTAATAAATACATGTAGAAGCAATTATGTTCTTTACATCCTCATGTTTGAGCTAAAATACAGAAGAGTTCATATCGTTCAGTGGTGTCCAATGTGGTCGTCTTTATCTATCACACAGTGGAAAACTAAGACGGAACCCGACTCTAAATGATATTTAATATTTAATATCGTCCATAAAAATTACAATTCGATATTTTCCCCAAATCATTCAACTTTAATGCATTAAAACAGCTTTTTTTTGTTGCCTGACAAACAGTCCCAAACCCAAATATGTCGACTTTACAATCACACAAAACTGTTAAATTAGCAAATTATCACATTTAAGTGGCTGGAACCAGTGATTTTCTGGTACTAATAAACTCATACACTGACATTCAAATTGCATTTTTGGTCTGTCCAGCACTCAGAAACCAAAACATACTGAGTTTACAATCTATGAAACTAACAAACATTTAAGAAGCTGACTGCAGTGAATCTTTGGCTTTTTTGCTGATACAATAAACATCCCTTTAGCATCAGCAATGTCTGCCTACAAAAGCAAACTGCATGCTTTTATTTTGAAGTCAGACTCATTTCCTGCGTTACTCACATTGTCTTTACCTTGACCAGGGAGTGTTCAAAGTGTCATACTGTTGTTGTTTCAGGCCGCACACCCATAAAAAAAAAAAACATCAACTCACAATCTGAGGAATGCCCACAGGGACTGATCACATCACTGATTACATCCTCAGCGTATATTTAGAAAACAAATCAAAATACAGCTGCCGGTAAAGGGCTGTGAAATTAGTTTTCTGGTTTCTACAAGCATTAATGTGGCTCAAAGGAAGAAACCAACACTTGAATTCATTCTGTTCTTGCTTTATTGAAGATCCATACAAACATACATTGTCACTGTACAGGTACAATAATTTACCCATAAAGGAGTGAGACCACTCACACTCTCAGAGCATTGAAATGAGGCAGCAAACATGAACTCTGCGTTACATCCAGTTCATAATATACAATATGTAATATACACACTCAGCGGTCAGCTCCTCGGACCTACAGCTGATGGGTTTTTATCTGGGCGGGTGAACTGATGCACGAGGAAACACACTTCTATTGCAGTAAACACACACAAAGAGGCGACGCGCTACGCTGCTGCTTTCTGACTGCGCTCTATGGCCATCCTCTCCAGCCGCTCCGTGTAGAAACCGTTGAAGTCCAGCCTGAGGAGTCATTAACAAAAATAGGTTAAAATACTGATAAAAAAAAAAAAAATCTCCCAAAACAATGATTTTTATCCCAAAAAAAAGGAGACATTGCAACAAAGGTGGATTATTGTTCGCTTTAGCTTAAAGCACAACTACTGTAAATCTAAAAAGTAGACGTTGGTGTCGTAAAATGTTTTTAAAATCAGACACTGTCGGAGTTCTGTGATCGTAGCTCTTTCCACCTGTGCTGTGTTTGAAGTTTATTACATGAGCCAAAACCTTAATTCTGTTATTTTTGAGTCATTGTCTTTACAGCTACATTTATTCGTGTGCACAGAGCAGCCTGACACAATATCTGAGCTCCCATCACCTTGTTATGGTCAACTCACCTTTAATACTTGTCCTACTCGTACTCCTACCATTACTGCTACTATAACAATAATAGTAATAATAATAGTAATAATAATAACACTTAATTTGTATCACACCTTTAATCCAACTCATGCAGCTCAAAGTGCTTTAACATTTAAAATTCCAAACCCTACTAAATAAAAACAATAAAAAACTAATAAAATATTACAGAAAAATTTATACAATTAAAAACAATAAATACAAACACATAAAAAGCAAGCAGGTATAAATAAAATGGCACCATATCTATCGTAGTAGGTGGTACTGAAAAGCTCAGCTAAAAAGATCTTTGCTTTCTTATTTATGCATCCAGCGGGTGAAGAGCAACAGTTTTAATTTTAAACCCTGCTTTGGTCTCCACCAGATGTTTGGTTCTTTTGCAGCTCTAAATAAGTTTAATGCAGGTTGAAAAAAATCACAATAAGCTAAAAAAAAAAGAGGCTAAATACAGTTCAGGAGGACTGCAGAGGTGTTGGTTTGTTACTACAAAGTGTTTTCAAAGTAAAAATATCAATTAGTGCAGCTTTAAAGGATCATATCAGTGTTTTGAACTGTGACTGACAGCTCTGACGACTAATCACACAGAGAGTTTTCTTCCTGATGGGGAACAGCAGCAGCTCATTCAGAGCTAATCAGCCCATTTAAACCATCAGTTATACAGTCACAGTCACATTCTTTGCAGTATTTTGAGCCTAAAAACTAAAAGACACACTGTGGAGACTTATGAGACTTTGGTTAATTTGCATAAAAGTGGCCCAATATGGGACTTACTTGAAACCAATAGTAGGAGGTTATTTAAGAAAACACCGGCTTGCTTTGCAACACGGTAAGATGAAGATGGATACATAGAAAAAGCTGCTTTAGAGTGACAGATTTACCTGTAGATGATGCTGATCATGCTGTGTTCGCAGTCGTTGGTGCTGTAGATGCTCAGCTTGTCCAGCAGGTCCAGCAGCAACATGCTGAAGTTGCTGTCGAACTTGCTGATGGTGGCTTCGAAGCCTGCGTCGGACTGGATGGCGTCGGCGTGCTCGGCTAAAAACTGAGGCGGCGAAGGAGGAGAAACAAACATATAAGGTATTAAATGCTGCAGTAGCTCCGGGTGCTGAGTTCAAGAATGCAGCGAGCTCAAAAAATGTCAAACTGTTAGAATAATCTCAGTTTTCTACAAATCAGAGGAACATTTTGAACATTTCCTTCAGTCAGTAGTGGAAAGTAATGAGGCTGCAGCTGAGGATGTTTTCCTCATACTTCATGCTTTTCTTTTTTTTTTTTTTTTACTCCTAAATTCATTTATCAGATATAGGTAATCCCAAATTAATTTTACTTTAAAAACAGACAATTAAAGTATAAAATAAACTGATAAATGTTAAACAAGTGGTTTGTGACCATTTATGTAGATCAGATAAGTTGTGTCTCTTTTTTTTTCTCTTGTGAAAAAAGCAGAAATCTAAACAATATACTGGCAAACAGTTCCAGCATCCAGATTCAAGACAGACTTTTGATGTCAGAAGTATTTCTTGTGCCACAAGTGGGCTAAAATGCCCAGTAACTAGCAATTTAAAATCCAGATTTCTGGCACAAAAGCACCACCAGGAGGCAGGATTGAACTTGTGAATTGCAATAATCCAGATGATGATCAGGATCTGCTGCATTTAAAATGTGAAACACTTAAAATCAACCCACAATTACTATTTTGTGATATTCCACCTCTATCTGCAGTCTCCCTGTACGATGGATGGATACCTTTGTGGTGAGCCTCTTCTTCTCTGCCTCCTCTGCGTGTTCGCTCTGAGGCGGAGGTCCGTCCATGGTGCCCTGCTCCATAGAGAGACGCTCCAACCTCATGCTCTGTGTGAAGCGCTACGACGGTCAAGAGAGGGAAAAAACAAACATCTGATAGTTTAATATTCAGGCTTTAACGTCTGTCATTGTTGCACTTTTGAAAAACTCTAGTGTTCAGTCAAGCAGAGGAGGAATTAATATACAAACACGGGGCTGAGTTCAAAAACGTGAAAGTGCAGCAACAGGTCCACAGCATTTAAAGGAAAATCAAGCGCGATGTGCCGCACCAGTCCTAAATCACTTGTTGAGAGACATTCTGCAGATGATGATCTTTGTATTTCAGATCTGAC